TGTGCCGTTCTACGACGCGGCGCGTGATGCGTCGGCGGGCTGTGGCGGCCGCAGTCAACAGGTCCGTGGACGCTCTCAACTCGATGTACTACGGTGCTCGTGATGTGCCAGCCCCTGCGGCCGTCAGCGACCTGATGGCGCTGCCGCAGTGCCAGCGTGCTGCTCTTGCTCATCTGATCGTGCGTGCGCGTGAGCTGGGCCCCAAGCCCCCGAGTGTCACCCGCCCAGGAGCCCTCCAGGAGCTTCGGGTTTTTAAGCATGATTATGCAGGGGACCTGGGTCAGGGCACCCGGGTTCCCATGGTTTTGGAGAAACTGTCGCTTCCAGACGTGGAGCGGTCGCCTGTGGATTTGGGGTCAGTCTTGGTAGGGTTGCCCCTGGAGTGCCTTCAGAACTTTGAAGAGAAGATGCTCGTCGGTGCAGCGGTTTGGAGCCAGCTGTCCGATGAGGCATCTCGAGTGCCGCCCTACACGGACCCGCTGTTGAGAGCCCCTGGGGGCTTCTGTGCGTTTGCTTCCAGGATGGCTTCTCGGGGTCTCGTGAGGTTTACTCGGCGCCCCGCCGCTCGTATCGGGGCGTTCACCGTTTTGAAAAAGTCGGGGAAGCAACGTCTTGTCCTCGACTGCCGCCAGTGTAATCTTCGATTCGCACCTCCCCCTCACACTGAGCTAGGTGGTTTAAGTACCTTGAGTGACCTGGAGATCCCTGTAGGACAGGCCTTGTATTGGGCCGAAGGTGACATCGAGGACTGTTTCTACGAGCGCGGTATCTCGGACGAGCTTTCATATTTCTTCGCTTTTGAGGCTGACGCGGCCGTGGGGGACTTACTGAATGCAGGTGTGTCGGGGGTGCTCTTGGACGGTTTCAGAGTTGATGAGAAGGTGTCAATGTGTCTCACCGTGTTACCAATGGGATTTACTTGGTCTTTTTGGTTGGTTCAAGAATGCCATATGCAAGTTGCCCGAAGGGAGGTCTCAGACAGTTTCGTTCTCGTGGACGGGCACCCCGTTCCGAATGTGCAGGCAGGCGAGCGCGTCTACATGGCGTACTGTGATAATTTGAATGCCGGCGCTTTCTCGTGTGAGCGAGCTGGAGAGTTGCGTGATGCTGTTCAGAGGGATCTGGAGCAGGACGGTTTCACTATCCACGACATCTCGGGACCTTCCCTCGTCGCCCGCGTGCTGGGTTCGGTTCTTAATGGCGATGCAGGTACCCTCAGCCCGGACCCCGACAAGCTTTGGAAGTTGATCGTCGTGTTTGACTGGCTGAGTTCAGGGCCCGTGGTTTCGGCGAAAACTGTTGAGAGGCTGATCGGACATTACATTTACGTCGCCATGTTGAATCGCAGCACGCCCCCAGTCTTGCGGCACCTGTATGACTTCGTCTCGCAGAGTTCGGAGCCCGAACGTCTTTGGCCGAGCTGCTGCAAAGAGTGTCGTATCATTACTGGTCTTCTGCCACTCGCCGTGGCTGATCTTCGTCAGGAGTGGAATCCCACGGTCACGTGCACTGATGCCTCGCCGACGGGGTACGGAGCTTGCCGGCGTGATCTCGACGTCGAATCAGTTCGGAGGATGGGGGGGGTGGAACGAGAGGTGGCGTTTCAAACGACTTGCTCCTGACCAATGGGCCCCCAGGTCTCGTGCTCTAGGATTGGACCCCCAGGAGGACCTCGCCACGGCTGGGAGCGTCTGGGCCCCGGAGGTTTCGAAGGAAGGTCTGTGGGACGATGCAGGCGATTGAGACTCTTTCAAGTACTCGGAGGATCCCGATTTCCCCGAAGTGCCCCTATGTCTTATGAAGCAGGAGTCTTGGGACGTGGTGTTGCATGGTACCTGGGAGTTCTTGGACGAACATATCGCGATCAAGGAAGGTAGGACGGTTACGTCTTTCTCGGGCCCACCGTAATTTTGGAAAGCGGCATCTGCTCCTTGTCGACAACATGGGGCTGTGTTTCGCTTTGTCGAAGGGTCGTGCCTGCTCGTGCGATTTGCCCAGGGTCTGCCAGCAAGCGGGGGCCCTTTTGCTCGCCACCAACAGCCGCCTTCGGCCGCGGTGGGTGCCCAGCGAGTTCAATGTTGCAGACGAACCCTCGCGCCGCGAGGAACGGGCGGACGCTCGCCGCCGGGGCCATGCTGCCGACGCGGGCGGGCCAGGAGAGGCAGCTCGTCGGCAAGGCGCAGGCGGCGGGGGGCATCGCTCGCGCGGCAGCGACGGCGCCCACTGGCTCCCGGAGCCTCCGGGGCTGGAGCGTTGGCGAGATGGAGCACGGCCGCCGGGACTCTCCCAAGGAGAAGCGCCTGCTGACGGCGCTGGTGGATGTTCCCGAGGACCGCCGCCCTTTGCCGCCTTTGGGCACGCGGGCGGCGCTCGACTTGACGTCGCACAAGAGGAAGGCCGAGGAGGCGCTCGACCCGAAGGGGAAGTTGCTTGCGTGGCGGGGCATGAAGTCTCGCTTGGAGGAGCGCAGCGCCTCGGCCAAGATGAATCAAGATTGCGATTTCTACCTGAAGGAGTTCAGGGACTTCTGCGCGGAGAACGGGTTGCCCACGGGCATCTCGGCGCAGACCGACTTGCTGCTCGTGGACTACTTCGGCGCGAAGTTCCTGGACGGGTGCGGCCCCTCGCTCGCGGAGAAGACCCTTGCGGCCGTGCAGTTCGCGGAGGCCCGCACCAAGAGCGGTCAGATCTGGTCGCTGGTGCGGGCACAGAGGGTCTTGAAAGGGTGGAGAAAGGTCGCGCCGCCCACCAGCCTGCTGCCGCTGCCTTGGATCATCCTGGCGGCTCTGTCGATGCATTTGGCGCAGCAGGGGAGGCAGGACATGGCGCTGTACCTGGCGGTGTGCTTTGCGTGCTACCTGAGGCCCTCGGAGGGGTTGAGCATCCGCGCGAAGGATGTGGTTCCTCCAGTCTCGGGGGCGGGGCACGGTTTTCGGCACTACACGGTGATCATCAGGGGGTCCGACGAGAAGGTGCCCGACAAGGTCGGGATCTACGACAACGGCCTCATCCTCGACCAGGGGCATCTGCCCAACCTCGGCGCGGCGCTGCACAGCCGGGCCCGGGGAAAAGCAAGGGGCGCCTTCCTGTTCGACTTCCAGCTGAAGGAGGTGCACGACCTGATGAACCAGGCAGCTCTCGACCTCGGGCTGCGCGACCGCCTGTCGCTCTACCAGTGCCGGCACGGAGGAGCCGCCCACGACCTCGTCGGCAAGCACAGAGACAGGGCCACGGTGATGGCCCGCGGCAGGTGGCAGACGGAGAGCTCCGTTCGTCGGTATACCAAGATCGGGGTTCAGAATATGCTCGCGATGCCCGTGCCTCGCGTCCTCGACCATGTGAAAAAGTGCGCGGCCGTTCTCGACGACGTGCTGTTGGGGCGGAAGGCCGCCCTCCAGCCGCCCCGGGCCGTGAGGAGGTGAAGCGCTCGCGGCGCAGGTCTCCAGCTCCGCGGTCGTGCGGAGCTCGATGGGGGCTCGTTGGGCGCCGTGGGTGTCTTGAGGTTTTCTCGGGATCTGGCCGCCTGACTGCGTCGTTGAGAGGCCGCGGCATCCGTGCGGAGGGCTTGTACGTTCTTAACAATGTCGACCTGTTGGTCAACAAGAACCAGCGGAGAGTCCTTGCCCTTATGAGAAGCAGGAGGGTTGGTTGTCTCTGGTTCGGGCTGCCCTGTAATACTCGGAGCAGAGCTAGAAGATGGGGAGGAACTGGTCCAGGGCCTCTTCGGGGCGAACAAAAGTATATCATGGGACTCCCTGGGCTGGGTGAAAAAGACGCCAGGAAGGTCATGGAGGGGAACCAGTTGATGTGGTTTGTCGTTCGTTGTTGCCGGGCCGCGTCAAAAGCTGGGTCCCCCTGGACTATCGAGAACCCTCGCACGAGTCGTGTCTGGAAAGCCCCGGCTGTGAAGAAGCTCGCCAAGATGAAATCTTTCGGGGCCGAGCTTTTATCTCCCGCGTTTGTGCACCTTGATTTCTGCCAGTACTGTGAAGCTTGGAAAAAGAGTACGACGTTGTTATCCCACGGTCTTGATCTGTCCTTTGCTGGCCGCAGGTGTGCTATGTCAAATGGGCTGTGTTCTCGGACAGGCTGCCGCCACACCGTCTTGGAGGGTAAAGATAGCTGTGGAAATTGGAGTACGTTACGTGCTCAAGCTTATCCTAAAGAGCTGACTAAAGTGCTAGCAGGACTAATTTATAAACGCCTTTTAAGCAGTCCACTTCGTGGATAAGGGAGATCTCCAGGCCTCACCAGACCAAACTGTAAGCGTTTGCAGCCGCCCGGAGCGGCTGTCCGTCAGCTCGTGCCATCAACCTTGTAACCTGCCGCGCAGCCCCGCTATGCGTCTGAAAATGTTGTCTGGCCAAGGGGGGGGGGAGAAGATCATGAGAGTGCGGTGCGCAGCATTGATCGTGCCTCCCCGCGGCCGTTTTCAACCCTCAAGGTTTTTTGCTGCGCCATCCCGAACCCCGTCCAGCCTCCCCCCCCCTCTCTCTCTCTCTCTCTCTCTCTCTCTCTCTCTCTCTCTTTTTTTTTTTTTCTCTCTCTCTCTCTCTCTCTCCTCTCTCTCTCTCTCTCTTCTCTCTCTCTCTCTCTCTCTCTCTCTCTCTCTCTCTCTTTAATTGGGGGAGATCTCCAGGCCTCACCAGACCAAACTGTAAGCGTTTGCAGCCGCCTGGAGCGGCTGTCCGTCAGCTCGTGCCATCAACCTTGTAACCTGCCGCGTAGCCCCGCTATGCGTCTGAAAATGTTGCCTGGCCAATGGGGAGGGGGAGATCATGGTTATGATCAAAGGCCACCCGCGCAAGGTGATCAGCGTGGCGGCAGCAAAAAAAGGGAAGAGTGGCCTCAGCAGACTGAAGATCGAGGAGCTGAACATCCGCACGTCGCTGCAGTACGAGGACGTCGAAGCGGCGACCTTCGCGGCTAACCTCCCCCAGGAGACGGGGGTGGACATCGTGAGCGGGCAGAACGTGGAGTGCAGCTCGTAGGACAGCGAAATGCTGGTGGCGCAACTTGGCAGGTACGCAGAACAGCTCCAGAAGCTTGACCTGCTGGACGACGACGCGTTCGAGAAGGTCCGCAGCTTCACGAAGCAGGCCGTGCCGTCGGCACGGATCGGCATCAGAAGAAGGATGAGAGAGGCCCAACCTGGAGGTCTCCTGGTCGACCCGCAGCCGCAGGCGTCGAAACAGGCGGCGAAGATGGGGGACCAGGCTTCGAGTTCAGCGAAGCGGAGCTGGACCAGTTCGAGGCCTCGTTGAATTTCAATGTTGGGCACTCCACAGGCCCAGGCTCGTCGAAGGCTCCAGGCCTGAGCGGCCACAGGGAGAGGGCCCCCCCGACGTCCCCTGGGCTCCTGTGGTAGGCTGCTGTCCCTTGGTTTTGGCGGGGCCTTTTCGGCCTCGCGGGTTTTGGTTGTCGGGCTTCTGGGCCCGTCGCGGCCCTTGTGGGCTGCTGTTCAGTGGGGCCTCGGTGGCCGCTCGCCCTGGGGCTCGGAGCGGCGCGCGGATGGCGCGGGCGCGCCCGCGGTGGCGGCGGCGGGGCCGCGCCGAACGCGAGGGGGGCCGACTGGCCTCCTCCTCCTCCTCCTTCTCCTCCTCCCCCTCCTCCACCTTCTCCTCCTCCTCCTCCTCCTCCTCCTCCTCTTCCTCCTCCTCCTCCTCACGTCGGTTTCGGCCGGTCGTCGAAAGGCAGGTCCAGATTGGCACGAAGGTCAGCCATGTTTCACACACCTTGATGTTCTGGGAAGACTTTAACTTGTTTTTCTGTCGAGCATGCGGATGCACGGCTACTGTTGACGGTCGATGGTTTCCCCTTCCTTGCCACCCCCCCCCACCAGGAAAGGGGTAGAGAACCTCTCGAGACTCGAGAAGGGGCTTTACCCATCTAGGCGGGTTCCTGCTGCAGTCACTGCTGCAGGTAATCAGAGATTGGTGGAGAGGGCGGGGGAGGAGGCTGCAGTGAGAGCGGCAGAGAGCGAGAGTGCCGCCTCTCTGCCGCCCCCGCCGCCCCCGCCGCCGCCCCCGTCTCGGAGCCCGACGCGCAGGCGCCGCCCCGCCTCCCGCCTCGCGGCGGACTCGGGCTCGTCTGACTGATGGGGGACGGCCACGTTGTGGCTTCATTTGATATTCCTGATATTCCTGATATTCCTCCTCAGCCTCCTCCATGTCCTCCTCCGCCTCCCCCTCCTCCACCTTTTCCTCCTCCTCCTCCTCCTCCTCCTCCATTTCTCCTTCTCCTCCTCATCCTCCTCCTCCTTGGGTCGCCTACGGCCCCGGAGGGGACCGTGCACCCGGGACTGGATTGATCGGGGTACTGAGGTCCCCGTGGAACTTTATTGTGGTACACGCCGCATGTTTTTAGAGCATCTCTGGCCGAAACCGTTTTGTTTTAATGCATCGGCCCCATGTTCTACGAAGGTGGTGTTTGTTCTTAGAACATGTATTCGTGTTCTAAGAACATGCTGTTCTTTGTAAGTACAACATGTTCAGGCTTTATGAACGTGTCGTGGTAAGCCGATAGGAGTGCCGGGACGCTCGGCTTCTGCCCAACATACCACCGCCTACCAAACCACCCCAGTCCAACCCGAAGGCTCCCATGTGCCCCCCAATTCCAGTGGGGGTGGGGGGGCGTCGGGGCGCGAGTTTCCCTCCAACCCCACCTCTGCCCCAACCCTACCCCTGCGCCCCCCCCGAAGCATGCGCTCTCTCGCCGCCTCGGGAACCAGCCCTTCGGAGGCGTGCCCGTCGAGACAGCGGCGGCCCCCCCGGGCTCGTTTGTGCCGTGCCGCCCCAGGTCCTCTTCCGGAAAAGGCGCCTCGTCGCCAACGCCGGAGCCGCGTGGAGGAGCGGGTCCCGGCCAGGCAAGCCCCAGGATCAGGAGGGGCCCAGGGGCCGATCTGGAGCGGAGCTGGTCAGGATACCCATCGGTCATTGAAGGTCGGTCTCTGGATGCCCAAAACCCAGTCTACTTCATGCGCCCTCCTACTTCAAGAGTCGATGTGTTTTTGGTGCGTTGTGTTACTCGTTGGGCGGGCCCGGACCCAATCTACTTAATCCGCCTCCCTACTTCATGTTTTTCATCAATTCTTCCGACCGATGGGTAGACCCCTTTCCCCCTCCCCCCTCCTACATTGGAGACCCATGCCAAGAAACAACCTGCTCGCCTTCTGGATGCCCCGGGTTTCTCGTGTTTCGATGGTTTCGCCAGGGTGACGCTCCCACACCAAAAATCTATGGACGCCCCGGGGTCTCAGGGTTGGGTTTCTTGTGGAAGACTTCTTGTGGACTGGTCTCCATTGTAGTTATTCTTGCAGTGCTCAGTGCACAAATACTATTTATGTTATGTCGGGCATGTCCCTCTACAGGAGGAGTGCTCAAAACTAGTGCAAACAAAAGTAGTCTGGGAACGATTCTTTGACTAGTTTTGGGTACTTGGGAGGTTTCTTCCATTATTTTTGGTTGTTCGTCCAAAATCCGCCTGCAGGGGGGCATGCCCGACCTAATGTTTATGTCTCCCTTCTCGGTTGCCAAAGTCGCAGCCTGCACTTGCCAGCGCGCCCTGCCGGATGTGCACGGCCGAGCGAGCGGGCGAGCGAGGGGGTCCCGCCGTTGTATCAACCGGCTTCCTCTCCCGACTCGGGGCCCTGTTTGAGCCTCGACTGTATGTAAGCGTGGCCCTTCGCCGGAGTGACTTTTGGTGCGGGCTCCTCGGGGTCCCCCCGATCGCTGAGCTCGATGCGAGTGGCTGCTTGCGTACTTGGATCTGACCACCTTGAGCCCCCTTTATTCCGCGCACTAAAGGTCACCCTTGCTTAGGGCCACTCTTGCGTGTAGCCGGGAGCCCCCTGGCCCAGGCCAGGTGGGGTTAGGATCGGGATGAACCTCTAGGCCATCCAGATGGGGTCGGAGTGGATAGAGTCCGAGGATCGCATCGCATCGCCTATGCATCGGCGATGCCGCTCGACGTGGAGCCCACGCCGACGTCGCCGTTACATCGCCGAAGTCGCCGATGCTTCGTCGATGCATCGGCGATACGGCGCGATTCTGCTTAGCGGAATGTGTGCGCGAGGCTGTGGACCCTTGTTTCTGTTTTTTCGGAAAGCGTTGCTCGAGTTTCCCCCAGGGCTGCCTCCAGCCGGAGCTGCTTATATGAGCACCGTGCTGCTGTTGACAGTGCTTGTCCCGGCACCGTATAGGCGCAGCAGCGTGCTGCAGCCAGGCTGTGCTGGTCCAGAGCGATGCTGCTGCCGGTCGGCGGTGTGCGGCTGCTGGCCCGTGCTATCACCAGTCGGTGCTGTGGTGATGCCCTGCGGGGCCACCGTTACGTCGGGCCTGTCCCTACACAGGGGGAATATTGAAAAGTAGTAAAAAAAATAGAACTGCAGCCAGTCGCTGCGGTCAGGGCGGCATCTTCTGTGCCGCTCCGTGCGCGGCGCGGCCGTGCTGCTGTGCAGTGCTGCGCCAGCCGGTGCCGTGCTGCTGCCGGTGCTCGCTCAGAGTCGTGTCGTATGAGCCGGTCCGCGCGGGTGCAGGGTCGCGCTGCGGCCAGTCGTCGGGGGCCCCCAAACGGGGTCGGTGACCACACCGTGTGGTGAGTCGGTGGGGATTCGGGGTCACCGCACGGTTTTGGGACTCGGGTCGTTCTCTCACCAGAGACAAAAGTACTACTACCACCAGCTAGGGGGGTGGTTGTCCCACCGCTTCGAGCTGGTGGCACCTCGTTCAGGGCATGCCTCCATAGAGTGCCCTGAAGGAGGTGCCACCAGCTCGAGGGGAGGGAGCGGCCACTCCCCTAGCTGGTGGTAGTGGTACTTTTGTCTCTCCTGATTCTCCGAGGACGTCTCGGGCGACTGGGGCCTCCGAGGTCCCAAAACCGTGCCGCTTGACGGACCGTGCGGTGAGGTCTTGGGGGATTTCGAGGTTCCCGCACGGTGTGTCACCGCACCGTTTCGGGACTCCCAAAGGCGGTGAGGTGGAGCTGCCAGTCCGCCTGTGCTGGTGGCCGTTTGCGTCGGTGCGGAGCCGTGGTGCTGCCTGTCAGCGGTGCGATTGCCGGTCCGTGGTGCTGCCATGCCGGAAGGAGTTATAGAGGTGCAGTCTCGTGTTGTTGCGGAGCGGCCCTGGCTTTGTCACCACGAGTTTCCGAGTTCAAAGATGTGGGGTAGTTCTGTGCTGTCGTCTGTCAATGTTGGTGCACTGCCGTGTTGCTGCCAGGCCATTGTGCCGCCAATCGAGTGCCTTGCTGCTGCCAGCCGGTGCTGGCGCTCAGTACTGGTGCAGCGCTGGGATTGGTGGTAGCGAAACGTAGTGGTAGTGGCGGTGGTGGCTGAGGTGGTCGAGGTGCTCTCCTCTCCTCTCAACCTCGCCCTCCCATGATCATCCTGATTAACCCTTCACTTCTTCTCTCCTTCCGAAGAATAATGATAATAACAGTAATAATACAATTGCCATAATAATACAATTATCTTACTAGTGATAAGAGAAGAAAAAGAACACTTGATAATGAACGGCATAAACATAGACTTTCGGAGTTCTGCGCGGATTTCTTGGATTGGCGCTGGACCCCCCTCCCTGTCGCGCGGAGCGTGCCAGAGGCGCCGCCAGTGGGGCCCCTTGCCGATCCAAGAATTCCGTGTGGATCTCCGAACGTATGTGTTTATGCCGTTTATTCTTTTTGTGTTCTCGCCAGCTCTTCCTCCCTTCTGGGAAGACAGAAGACCCGAGTCCGCCAGAATTTGGATTTGCCGACGATTTTTGACGGGCTTGGTCTTGAATTTTGGCGGCCACGGTTTTCGTGGGTTATCTGCAGCGGGAGTTCGCGTCAAATTTCAGATTGGGTCTCGCTAAGGCCCCGTCAGGCCAGCCCGAGTCCTCCAAAGTCCTACGTCTCCACGGTCCATCTGCGGTAGGTCCGTGTCGTGTCGACCGGCGGCGACCCCGCCGCAGGCGTTCAACGTGGACCGCCGCCGGCGACCCAGAATCGGTCCATGTTGAACGATCTGACGTTTCGGAAATTGCCGATCATTTCAGGTTGAACGACCCCCGCGGTGTCAGAAACCAGCGCCCGAGTCGGCACGAAACGGACCTGCCGTGCTCTCACCAGCTCCACGACTCCAGTTGGGGATACGGGCCTGTCCCTCTACAGGGGGAATTTCCAAAAATAGTAAAAAATAGCCTGGGGACTAATTTTCCGAACCATCCTGTGGTGTTGGGTCCTCGTTTTGAAGAGACGGTGCCCCGCGTCTCTCCTCCTTCCTTCCTCCTCCCCTCCTTCCTCCTCTCTCCTCCCTCCTCCCCCTCCTCCCTCCTCCCCCTCCTTGCCTTTGCTCTCGGCACACATCTCACACGTTTCGTAGCCCCATATAGAGCTCCACCGAAGGCCCCAGTGGAGGGGGGCCCGCATGCGTCCGCCACACCCAGCACAGCGCTTCGTGGCCCCATAGGGAGCTCCACCGAAGGCACCAGTGGAGGGGGGCGCATGCGTCCGCCACACCCAGCACTGCGTTTCGTGGCCCCATAGGGAGCTCCACCGAAGGCCCCAGTGGAGGGGGGCGCATGCGTCCGCCACACCCAGCACAGCGTTCGTGGCCCCATAGGGAGCTCCACCGAAGGCCCCAGTGGGGGGGGGGGCGCATGCGTCCGCCACACCCAGCACGGCGTTTCGTGGCCCCATAGGGAGCTCCACCGAAGGCCCCAGTGGAGGGGGGCGCATGCGTCCGCCACACCCAGCACAGCGCTTCGTGGCCCCATAGGGAGCTCCACCGAATGCCCCAGTGGGGGGGGGCGCATGCGTCCGCCACACCCAGCACTGCGTTTCGTGGCCCCATAGGGAGCTCCACCGAATGCGTTGCTCACAAAGACGGTACTTACAACTGCATATGGGTGGGTCCTTCGCCAGGCTAATTTGACTATTTTTGGGCATCTTTAGAATATGTTCTTAATATTTTGGTTTTCGTTCGAAATCCCCCTGTAGGGGGACAGGCCCGACCTATGGATACGCCCCTCGAAACCCGAAGGAGCAGCCTACACCCAATCCAGGGCTGTCCAGGCCACGCTCGCGGGGAGCAGTCGAGTCTGAATCGTCCAAATCATGGGCACCCTTGTGTCCTGTGTTTCGCGACTCACGCCCTCTGCATTCCTGTGACAGTGTGACCCTAAGAAGGGTCTTGTGTCCTCTCGCGTGCGCTCTCCAATCAACCTCGGCTGTAGGGATCGGTTAAAGGATGCTCCACGTTTTTCTCTCACATCGTTCGACTCGGGGATAGACTACAGAATTGATGTACCCTTCAAAGTGTTTGGTTAGTCGACTGTGCAACAGCATACATATAATGTTTGTAAGCAAACGCAGTATTTTACGTAGTCGTCTTAGGTTCGACGGCAAATTTTGGGGTACAGTCAACGCGCATAGTAAGGACAAACGACTTTTTTAAGGGTGCCCTTGGGTCCTTGCCTGCCTCAGCATCTGCGGCCCGTCCCTAGCAATGTTCGCAGGCCAGTTTCTCGGGGTACCCTTGGGGCAGGCTCCTCCAAGGGTCTTGCGTCCTTACCACGCGCCCTTACTATACGTTTTCACTGCACATCAGTTAGAATCGATCCCCTGCTCGAATCTCGAGTAGTAGAATCTCGTCCTGGGCAGTTCGTCGATCCCCTGCTCGATGCGCTCTCCCCCTCCGCCCCCGGCAGTCGGCGTGCGGCGCCCCCCCCCCCCCCCGAGGCCCGCGCGCTGCGGCTCTACCAGCACGCCAAGCTCCTCGCCGTGGCGCACCACGACGCGGCCGCGGAGGAGAGGTGGACGCCCCTCCTCCTCATTCTCCTCTTTCCTCCCTTGTCCCTCCTCCTCCCCCTTCCAGCCCCTTCTCCTCCTCCTCCTCCTTCCTCCTCTATCCTCCTCCTCCTCCCTCCTCCCCCCCTTCGTTCCTGCCTCCTCCTCCCTCGATCCTCCCCGGCCACATGCGGAGGGGGGGGGGGAAGTCTTCTCAGAAACACACCTGATTCTTAGAGGGCGAAAGGGCCTTGTCTATAGATGCAGGGCCGGCGCCTTCTAAGGAGCTGCCTCCTGCTAAGAGCCTTCCCCCCCTCCTCCTGCCCCCTTGTGCGCGCTGCCAACAGTCGATGCGAGGGGGGGCGATAACTCAAGTCCAATGAGGGGGGGAAGCTTCGGGTTCGATGTTGGTGGTCTGCGGGCGTTTTCATGGGTCCCCGACGATCTCCCAGCCTCGGGATGCTCTCCAGCAGCTGCTCCTCGCCAGGAGCGTTCCGGGGGTGCCCAGATCGTCCCAAGCGGCCGCCGGAGACACGAGAATCATGACCCGAAATCCACATCTGCAACGATCTGGTTGTTTCAAATGGCGTTTTTTCTTAGATTCCGGTCCTCAGGGGCTGGTTTCTGGCCCTATAGGGGCGATCAGACATTGGACCTGGGACGAAAAGCTACCCGCGAATCGGAAGCGTCACATCGGGTGGATGTCAGGGAAAAGGATATGATGGAGCGGGGCTGAGAGGGCTGGCTGGGAGAGGCATTGCCCGAGGGGAGAAGTCGTGTTCCTGAGCATTTTATTTGTGTGGAGGGCAGAGGGAAATAGAAGGGAAAATAGGGAAATAGAATTTCCACGGCAAGGAGACTAGGGAAAATAGAAGAGGAGCGAGTCCTTGTGAAACATATTAAGTCAGCAGTGGCGCAGGATAGAGCGGCTTGGCTGGATGAGTTGACAGCCGACGGAGACTGGGGCCAAATACGGAGGCTCCGAAAGGGCGCTTCCCGACAGCAGGGGAGGCTCAGAAGTTCCAGAGGGGAGATGGTGGACACCGATTGCCGGGCCGACACGCTTGCTGATCACCTGGAGCGGGTGCAATGGGCAGTGCGGCCGACGAGCGCTATGCCGACGGACGCCCTCTACGAGACCGAGTTAAACGTAAACCTTGGCGCCATCACGGAAGACGAGGTACATCGTGCAGCCCGCGCCCTTAAGCCCGGAAAAGCTGGAGGGCTCGACGACTTGCCGCCAGAGTTTTGGAGGACAGCCACGGAGGATGGATCTACGGCGCTTTCGTGGGTTACGCGTTTCTGCAACATTGTCTGGGAGAGTGGGCAAGTGCCTGATGACTGGCATAAGTCACGAGTGCGGATGATCTATAAAAAGGGGGACCCTGCAGAATGCGATAACTATAGACCAATCAGCTTATTACCAATTGGTTACAAAATGTTTGCGATTGTGTTGTTACGGCGGCTGAAGCACGCGGGGGCTGAAGACAGAATCTGGCAGACACAGTTTGGCTTTCGATCTAAACGTGGCACGGCCGACGCAGTGTTTCTAGCCCGCAGGGTCCTTGAGGACGCATGGAGCACCCGAGATGGCAAAGTTTATTTCCTGGCGCTGGATTGGGCGAAAGCTTTCGATTCGGTGTCGCCCGCTGCTTTAGCATCCTCCCTGCGTAGATTCGGTTGTCCGTGCCGTTTCGTGCGGATGGTTTCGGCAATTTACGAGAGGCGGGCATTCATCGTTGCGGATTTGGGATCCAACTCTCACGAGCGACCTCAACACTATGGAATATGTCAGGGATGCCCTCTGTCACCGTTTCTGTTCACCATCGTGATGACAACGTTATTGGCTGACTCCCATGCGGAGCTTCACCGGCGCGTCGGGCCACAAACAGCAACGCAGTTGGTCCGGGACTTGGTATATGCAGACGACACTCTTTTGATCGACAGCGACTCTTTGGTAGTGCAGGAGTTGATGAATTGCATCGAGGGTTGTGGGGCGCACTACGGCCTGAGCTTCAATTGGGGCAAGCTCGAACTCATGAAAGTCAGGGCAAACGGCGACATCTACAACAATGCCGGAGAGCCGATCGCAAGCAAGAGCTCCATCATATACCTCGGCACGTCATTGTCGGCAGACGGGCGGATCGGATCTGAGCTAAGCCGCAGACTAGGAGCAGCAACTCAAGATTTTAAGGTGTTGCATTCGATTTGGTCACATGCAAGAATGAGCAGGCGTCGTAAAATATACATTTTCAACGCTTGCATTGTTTCTAAACTAATGTACGCGCTCTTTGCCGCATGCTTAAATAAAGCGGAGCGGCAGAGGCTGGATGCTTTCCAGAACCGCTGCCTCCGGAGAATCTGCCGAATTCCTCATGCGTATTATAGTAGGGTTTCTAATGCGGCCGTTCTCAACATTGCTGGGGAAGATAAGCTCAGCACCCACCTCGCCAGAAGACAGATGGTTTTCATGGGGCAGCTGGCGAGGCGACCCGGCAGCGACCCAGTCCGACGCTCGGTGTTCGAACCGGGAACCTTGGACTTGCGTAAGCCTGCCGGAGCGAGGAGGCGAGGCAGGCCTCGCCAAACTTGGGGGCACCTTGTGTTGAAGAATGCACTACAAGTGGCGGGCTCCCATGCGCGACTCGCTGACTACTTCCGCCAAGACGGCGGTGCAGCTCGCGAGTGGGAGCGCGTAGTTAAGGTTTGGCCACACAGCTAAAGGCTTGTTGGCTTCGTTTTGTTTTTTCTCTCTGCTCACGCACCGACTGGTGCAAGGCTTACCGGACCGGAGGGCAGAGGGTGAAATCTGAAATGCCGTTTCGATTGATTTCCGAGGTTTGAATCTGCGCAAGGTGAACCACAAGACGGATTGATTCTCGAGGTGCGAATGCCCACATGGATTTCACCCTGAACCCTTCACCCCAAGAAGATGCTTAGGTGTTCGGGACAGATTTCGCATCGTCTTGAACTGCCAGCCTTCGGCTGCAGTGGTGTATGGGCAGGCCGCCCGAGCCAGCCCAGATTTGGAGACGGCATTTGGTCGCATCATTCGGCACATCTTTGCCTTGTTTGACATCCTGGGACATCGGTGGTGCTGTGGTCTGGCAGTCGATCAGAGGGGGAAAAGGTACCCATACCTCTACCCTTCGCCCGTATTTCCCCCTTTCGGGCCTCCTCGGAGGCCCTCATTGCCACCGCTGGATTCGCCTCGAAATCCTGGTCGGAACGCACCCCAGGAGAGGTCCGGGGAGTAGCGGTATCGGTACCTTTCGGTCTCCCCAGTCGAGGGAGTTTAACAAGATCGCCGAGTATACCGTCAGTGACATGGGGATATGCCTTCCCCGACAGCGCGGACATGTCGCCCGAGGCGTTGTGTTGGTGCACGCAGGCGGCTGCACTCGCCTGGACAAGTAGTCAGCGGCGGTCTGATGCGTCGAATCTTTGCTTGTGCAGGGCCAGGCAGGTTTGCACCCCAGTCTGGATTGCCAGAGTTTTGGTTGCTGACCCCGTATCGTCATCCCTCGCAAGAAGCCATCTTCTTTGACGACGCCGTCCGGGCTCTGGACCAGTTCCTGGCCTTGTGTGTTCGGCCGTCGCAGTAGCGACCGAGGCTCCAGAGACAGAAAGACAAGAGGAGGAGGCGGGATGAGTGAGAGGGGGATGAGGGGGGAGGAGGGATGAGGAGGGGGAGGATGGGGAATCTGATAAACATCATCGGAAGGAGGAGCAGGAGGAGGAGGAGACGACAGAGAGGAGAGAGGAGTAGGAAGCGTGAGGGTAGGAGGAGGAGAAGGTCGAGAAGGTGTGTTTATCTTGTAGGCACGGTGGCATGCCAGACCCTTATCATACTCACATTCCCGAAACAAATCTTGCGCTGGGAGTTCTTGAGTACCCGTGGTTCAAATGATTGGCGTGCGTTTCTGGTTTTCTCACCCGGTGGGTGGCCATGGCTGTTTCGTTGCCGCCCCGTGCGCTGGCTGGGGTATCCGGACTTTCGCCTGGTTGGCGTCCAGGCCCGCCTCGTGGCCACCTGGTGGCCGCCCGTGCGCCAGCTGGCGCATGGCGCATGGCTTCCCCCACTCATGTTGCATCACACAGCTTGTACCATGTGGGCTTGCACCTCGTAACTAGCTTTCACCACATAGCTAGCAACACGTCTACTGCACCATGCACAAGTAGCATCGCACAGCCTGCAGCACATACAGACTGCACATGGAGGGTGCAATCGCCTGCTGTTTCATGGCCATTCGTTTTGAATAGCAAGTGATGCCATGCGCAGGAGGCTGGCGTTGACCCCGTCGTCATTCCTGTCAAATAATGCCATGCGGTGTACACACGTTGATCCAGCAAGTGTGCACTGTAAAACTCCATACGAATAATGGTATGCGTGCCACGCGCGCACATGCCGGATTCTTTCCATCACCATAGGTTTTGCGTGCCACAAGTGCATGCGTGCCGATCACGCTCAACAATCAACGCCTACCCGCCATTTCCTTGTTCAGTAGTGCCATGCCGCCCCCGCGCGCGCATCTCCACGGCGCACGTCGTTGCACAACCTTCTGTGGTAAGCTGGCCAGTTGTTTGAGCATGAAGTGCCCAACATGTGAAAGTACACTACTTTTTTCAATAGGACACATGTCGCGGTTTCTGCGCCGCCACGCTTCCTCAGCATCCGCCTCAGCGCCATCGCCATCAGCATCGCCAGCGTTATCATTCGTATCGTCATCAGCACCATGATCTTCATCACCGTCACCATCGTCGCCGTCATCACCGCAGTCATTATCATCACCGTCATCTTCGTCGTCGTCGCCCTCGGCATCAGCGCCACCACCATCATCAGAATCGTCGCCGTCGCCGCTACCTTGGTCACCATCGTCGCTCGCCCGCCCAAGCCGTTTACCTGCACGAGAAGGGTCTTCATGCCAATGCGCCAGTGGAGTGTTTCGAACAGGTTGCGGTTGGCTGCGTGGGATGTCTGTCCGTTTCGGAGTAAACGGTTTCAATAGTTTTCAACCAGTCGACCCCAGCACCCCAAATGTGGGACCACGTAGCTCGCTCCACAGCGCTCACCATCAAATTATAGCACCCTTTATAGTGCACTACATCGTTAGCGTCACGTAGCTTGCATCACATGTTTCACCGAGCTTGCGTGCCATAGTTTCCACCACACAGGTTGCATCGCACATGTTGGGTTACATACATTGTACAGCTTCGGGTGCACCATACACAGCTTGCACCACCATAGAACGTGCATCGAATGTATTCACCATCTAATTTTGCATCGCCTCGGTCGCGCCATACAACTATTGCCCCACAAATGCTGCACACCGAGAACGCAATGACCCATCGTTTGGAGTTCACATTGGAACATCTGTTATGAGGCCATCTCTCATCACATTCGCCATTTACAACCACTACTGCAACTTCTTCTACTAATGCGAGTACTACTGCTACTACTACTACTACTACTACTACTTTTACTACTACTACTACTACTACTACGACTACTACGACTACTACGACTACTACTACTACGACTTTTTATGCGACTACGACTACGACTACTACTACGACTACTACGGCTACTACAGCCACCAATTTTATTATTACTACTACTGCTACTGCGACTACTGCTACTACTACTACTACATCCACTGCTACTACTACAACCACTACTACTACGGCTACTTCTACTACTACGGCTACTACTACTACTACTACTACTACTACTACGGCTGCTGCTACTACTACGACTACTACTTCTACTACTACTAGTACTCCTACTAGTATCACTACTACTACTACTCCTCCTACTACTACTACTACTACTACCACTACTAATGATACTGCTACCACTGCAACTACTACTACTACTGCTGCTGCTGCTGCTGCTGCTGCTACTACTACTACTACTGCTGCTGCTGCTGCTGCTGCTGCTGCTACTACTACTACAGCGGTTACAACCTACCACCTCCTATACTCATATACATTCCTCGGTCCTCTTGGCTTCACTCGTATCGGTTCATTTTGCTCAAACTGAAGCTGCCACCGTGTTCGGCGCCAACTATATTAACCTCAATGTGACAGGGCCGTCGAGCAGCAATTCCAAATCATCCGGAAACTTGCTCTGGCTTCCCGCAGATGTGGACTCAGTACCACGTTCACTGATGCTCGATTTACGTGTATAGGGCTTGAGCTCAAGCATGAAAGTGCATGTGTCGTCGAGGGACAGAGAGAGAAGACTTGGACGATCATTGAGAGGACAAGTGGCAGTAATGGGGTTAACAGACAACGCATTGTTATGTAGCACATTGGCAGGCAGTTGTTCGCCTGATGCTGAAAGTCAGTACTTTGGAGCATGCGGCACCTCTAACTCAATAGCCGAAGAGCAACACATTTTAGCGTGACTCGAACTGGCAACGATTTTTCACAGTATGCTAATACTTGTTTATGCCGACCGTCGTGTGCATTGATCTGGCCATGCGCAACTCCCGCTCATTGACATGGTAACATGCTGTAGCCCTGTGTCGTATCAGCGAGATCAGGTATCTATCTTCGGCAAGACTCGCGGCCTCACATCGCCGACAACGTCTTGCTGCGCACGCCTTGACGGTGCGGCCTCTCTCTCGGTGGGTGTGAGACGGCGACGCCACGCCGTTTTTGTTGCTGTCGTTGTTGTCGTTGTTGTCGTTGTTGTTGTTGTTGTTGTTGTTGTTGCTGTTGTTGTTGTTGTCGTCGTCGTTGTGGTTGTTGTGGTTGTTGTTGATGTTGTTGTTGTTGAGTTCTTTCTATTGAAGAATAGTTTTGTTGCCCCCCCCCGTCCAGTGCACATTGTAGTTTTTCCCAACCCTCCTGCGTTGGGTTCTTTTTGAATGGAGCACTGCTCGCGCGTCTCCTTGCCTCCTTCCTTCCTTCCTTCCCGTCCCTCTCTTCCCCCCTGCCTTTGACCTCGCCATCCCTGGGGGGCTGCGATCTGTGAAACTGGCGCCACTTTCGAGGCCTGCTGGGGGGCCCAGCACAGTGGGTACTCACCGCGGATTCAAATTAGACCTCGCCATCCTTGGGGGGCTGCGATCTGTGAAACTGTCGCCACGTTCGAGGCCTGCTGGGGGGCCCAGCACAGTGGGCACTCACCGCGGATTCAAATTAGACGTCGCCATCCCTGGGGGGCTGGGATCTGTGAAACCGTCGCCACTTTCGAGGCCTGCTGGGGGGCCCAGCACAGTGGGTACTCACCGCGGATTCAAATTAGACCTCGCCATCACTGGGGGGCTGGGATCTGTGAAACCGTCGCCACTTTCGAGGCCTGCTGGGGGGACCAGCACAGTGGCTACTCACCGCGGATTCAAATTAGACCTCGCCATCCCTGGGGGGCTGCGATTCCAACATCGTTGATGCCTCTTGGGCTTACACTGGTCCTCCTCCTGCTCCTTCCCCTCCTCCTCCTCCTCCTCCTCCTCCGCCTCCTCCTCCTCTTCAATACGCGGGCCGCGCACGTGCCGCTGGCCATGATTTGTGCCCCCCCCCCCCTCTTGGATTCTGGGCCTCCTAGATGGGGTCGGAGTAAATGGGATCGGAGGATCGCGTCGCATCGCCGATGCATCGCCGATGCGGCTCGATGTGGTGCCCGATTTCCTTCACGTCGACGTTGCCGAGGCATCGCCCGCGTCGACGATGCATTGCCTGCGCATCGCCGATGCATCGCTGATGTATCGGCGATGCGGCGCGATCCTCCGACCCTAGCTGCTCCGACGCCATCTAGTGAATCCTCTATGGACGTCCCGCTCTTGGACGCCCCCGATGCCGAATCAGCGGGCCGCTACGTCGGATACTTTCCCGTCCTCGCCCAAGAGTCCCGCGGGCTTGAACGAGCCTTGGTCAGCAGTTGCGCCAGCTGAACGCCCACAGTGACCACTCTGACGCCGAGACCTTAACTCCTGGCGCACGGGTCATGCACATGGGCGCCAGCCGCGGGCAGCAAAACAGACGTGTGTCCTTCAGTGGCACTCCCGCGCCGACCTGCATGGCCTGAGCGGGCTCCGTCTTCTTCTTCTTCTTCTTCTTCTTCTCCTTCTTCTTCTTCTTCTTCTTCGTCTTCTTCGTCTTCTTTCGTCTCTTTCTCTTTCGTGCCGTGCCTGTGCTGGCTTCGGGTGCAGCCCAGCGCTGCCTTTGACACGCGCCTGCGGACTTACGAGGCTCTGTCTCTTGGCGATGCCAGCGCCAGAGCACCTGGACCGCTGAGGAGGTCAGCCACGCGCAGAGGGGGGTGGGGGGAGGGGGGAGGGCTTCTTAGAAGCACCCCTGCTTCTTAGAAGGTCCCGCCGCCGCCGCCTTCTAAGAAGCAGCCTCCATCTAAGAAGCCCTCCCCCCTCCCTCCACCACCTTGTGCGCGCCGCCAAGGAGGAGTGGAGGTCCGAGCGCTGGCAAGGCGTCGATGCGTCTCAGCGGCAGCACAGTCAGGGCGGCGCTCCTGCACCCTCCTCCTCCTCCTCCTCCTCCTCCTCCTCCTCCTCCTCCTCGCTCCTCCTCCTCCTCCTCCTCATCCTCCTCCTCCTCCCTCACCTTCTCCTTCTCCTCCTCCTCCTCCTCCTCCTCCTCCTCCTCCTGCTCCTACACCTCCTGCTGCTCCTCCTCCTCCTCCTCCTGCTCACCCTCCTCTTCCTCCTCCTCCATCTCTTCCTCCTCCTCCTCCTCCTCCTCCTCCTCCTCCTCCTCCTCCCCCTCACGGCGAGGGCCCGCAGAGGGGGCCCGCAGGTGACCTGCAGCAAAACATTCGCCCGAGCGGGAAAGGATTGGACAATTATATGTGTCAGGCGACTGATTGAGCGGCGCCCCGTCGCCTCCTCCCGGCCCCGCGCGCGGCCGCCCTATGGGGTGCACTGGGAGTTGCCTCTTGCCTCCTCTTGCTTCTCAGTCAGGAGGTTGCACTATGGACCACTTTGGGCTTGGGGGCACTCTAGGTTTCCGCCGTCCCTAATTTCTCCGGGTCAGGGAATATGTTCCTTCTTGAGTGTGTTCTTTTGTGGTGGCGTGATGACTGTATCCCGCGTAACACGCCATTGCGCTTGGCACGGGCACTGCGCGTTGCGATCGGCGCCCGCTGCACCCACCCCGTCGCGTCTCTCGTCCCCTCCCCTTCCATTTGTCTGCAGCTGCGGTGGTTCGCATCGCGCGGCTCTGAGATGTCAAGATCTCGTCCGTTCGTTGTTCGTGTCGTCTCGTAGACTTCGGGCGTGTTGTGGGTCAGGGCTTCTCTCGTTGGCCGGCGGTCTTCCTCCAGCTACACACTCTTTGATAGCTCGCCCCTGTCGATGCAGCTCCCTCTCGGAGAACCCGTGTGGACTCCCAGTTGAGGATCTGTCTCTTGCGACCACATGTTGTGTATTGTATTTGCGCTATTCGCGACAAGCCCTCCCGAACTCAGCGAGCTCGGGGGATCGGGCGGCGAGTGCTCGCACAGGAAGGACCCGGTCTGGTGCAGCTGTGGTCGATGCGTGCTGTACAAGGCCAGTTTTTCTTGGAGCGGTGATATGAGTTTCATCCTTCGGGGGCGAAGCTCTGATCGCACCCGTCGTCTTGTTGGCCGCCAAAGTGCCAGTACAGTCGGGGCGCTGAAGAAGGAACCCTTTTCATTGGGGAGGGGCTCGGTGTTCCTTGATTGTTTTACAGTTTGCCTCAGGTGTTCCTCCGGTTTTCCACGGGAAATCGAAGTTCAACTTCTGGGAAAAGGGGCCTTGTTCCTTACTTAGGGTTCCTTAGTTCGACACCCCGACGGTAGGGTCACTTCATTGGCGCGGTCGTCCTGCTCGGCCTACCCGCAAGGCCAGTCCGGTCCTTTGAAGCTGCCCTGTCCCGTCCAGATCGGCCTGGCCCCGTCGCTGCTGGCCTGCCAGGCTGGCCATGTCTTCCCTATGACCCTTGACGCCGCTTCCTGCTTGCCGTTGCCCGATCCCCTCCCCTCCCCATCCTCTCCCCAGCCCCTCCCGTCTCCCTCGTCGTCCCCCTCCCCCTCCCCTAGAGACGTCCGACGTCGCACTTTCTCTGTGACATGGGCTGCCTCCCAGACAGCGCTTTGCCACTCCGTTGTTCGTTCCAGCGGTATGAGGGCCCAGCGCGGGCCTCTGGAGGCTCCCAACGTTGACGAGTGTGCTGTCCAGTTTCGGCGGCGCGTCGGGGGGGGGGGAAGCGAGAAGTAGCAGGCCTTCCCAGAAGGCGGAGCCTCTCAGAAGCCCTCCGGCCTCATACGCGAGAAGGTTTCTGTGCTGTCGGGGAAGGCTCAGAAGACTCCTCAGAAGGCCCGAGCCCTCCCGAGCCTGCTCAGGAGGCCCGACCCCGCTCGCTCCCCCTCGGGCTCGCGCCGCCGATGGCCGGCTCGTCACGCAGGTGCGCTGGCCCCTCCCCCTCCCCACGCTTCCCCGGCCCGTCCCTGCCCGGTCCCTCTGCGCCCTCCCCGGCGCCGCCAGCGGCTGGCCTACTTCTACCTGCTCCGCGGGCGTCACCAGGAGGCCCTCACGCAGGCGAGCGAGGCACGCTGTGCCCCGCTCCAGAGCACCCCACGGGGTGGCAGCGGCGGAGGTGGGTGGTGAGCGTTGCCAGAGTTCAGTCGGGCACGTCCCTCTACAGTATGCAACATGAGGCAAGCAAATGATGCGGGGACGATGTTCAGATTTTTTTCTTCAAATTTTTACCTACCAGCGAAGACTGATAGGTTTCTAATGGGGTCAAAAGAGAGCATTTGATGACTCCCCAAAGGGTGTCTGGGCGGGAGCCGAACAGGCGAGGGCCGGGCTCGTTTTAAGCAAACAGTGACACACTTCGTGCTCTTCGTCCTCCCAGAATTCCATTCCCGGGCTACATTTTGAATGCCCGGAGCCAACTGTAGGCCATTTCGTGCTCTTCGACTTCCTAGAACACCATTCCCGGGCCACATGTTGGATGCCCGGAGCCAACTCTAGGCCACTTCGTGCTCTTCGACTTCCCAGAACTCCATGCCCGGGCCACATTTTGAATGCCCGGAACCAACTGTAGGCCACTTCGTGCTCTTCGACTTCCCAGAACACCATTCCCGGGCCACATTTTGAATGCCCGGAGCCAACTGTAGGCCACTTCGTGCTCTTCAATTTCCTAAAACTCAACTCCCGGGCCACAATGTGAATGCCCGGAGCCAATTGTACGCCACTTCGTGCTCTTCCACTTCCCAGACTTCCAAGACTCATCATCTTCATCATCATCATCGTCCCCGTAGCCTTCTTGGCTACAGCCCTGCTTTTGAAGATTTCCTTTCAAAGGAACTGCGCAGCGCCTACTGCGCACAATAATGCCAGACATGCTGATAGTTCTCGGTCTAGCGGCGGTGCTCCTGACCCTGCTGCATTGAACAGCGGTGCTCCTCAGCCTGCGGCAGGGAACAGCGCTGCTCCTCAGCGTGCTGCATTGAGCGGTCCTCTGCAAACGCTCGTCGAGCACGTGAAGCAGTTCGGCCGGACACCGAAGCGAAATAAAGGAACGTCCGAACAAGAACGCGCCGAAAACAAGTTGGCCAAACGTTCCTCGGACCATCGCGACCTCATCCCCCAAGACATTTTGCATGAACTGCGGGCCCTGGGCTGCGCTGATCAGCAGACGGAGACCGAGGAGCTCAAGCGGAAGCAGAAGACCGAGGAGCTCACGCAGCAACAGCGAGACAAGACCGAGGAGGTCATGCAGCAAGTGCGAGACCTCGGCCGCCACCCGAAGGAGTATGCCGGGCGTAGCCTCGCAGAGCGGCAGCTGGCAGAGATTTTCAATGCTCGGAGCCAACTGTAGGCCACTTCGTGGCCCTCGAATTCCCTAAATTCAATTCCTGGGCATGAGTTTGAATGCTCGGAGCCAACTGTAAGCCACTTCGTGCTCTTCGAATTCCCAGAACTCCGTTCCTGGGCATGATTTTGAATGCCTGGAGCAAACTGTAGGCCATTTCGTGGTCTTCGAGTTCCCAGAACTCCATTCCTGGGCATGATTTTGAATGCCCCGAGCCAACTGTAAGCCACTTCGTGGTCTTCGAGTTCCCAGAATTTGATTCCTGGGCATGATTTTGAATGCCTGGAGCCAACTGTAGGCCACTTCGTGTTTTTCGAGGTCCCAGAACTCCATTCCCGGGCCACATTTTGAAATGCTGAGGCAAGCTGATGCTGAGGCTGAGGCCGGCTGAGGCTGAGGCAGGCTGAGGCTGAGGCCGAGGCTGAAGGCAAACTGAGGCTGAGGCTGAAGCAGGCTGAGGCTGAGGCTGAGGCAGGCTGAGGCTGAGGCTGAGGCAGGCGGATTTTGAGGCAGGCTGAGGCTGAGGCTGAGGCTGATGCAGGCTGAGGCTGGGACAGGCTGAGGCCGAGGCCGAGGCTGAAGGCAGACCGAGGCTGAGGCTGAAGCAGGCTGAGGCTGAGGCCGAGGCTGCAGGCAGACTGAGGCTGAGGCTGAAGCAGGCTGAGGCTGAAGCAGGCTGAGGCTGAGGCTGAGGCTGAGGCCGATGCTGAGGCTGAGGCTGAGGCAGGCTGAGGCTGAGGCCGGGGCTGAAGGCAGACTGAGGCTGAGGGTGAGGCAGGCTGAGGTTGAGGCTGAGGCAGGCTGAGGCTGCGGCCGAGGCTGCAGGCAGACTGAGGCTGAGGCTGAGGCTGAGGCTGATGCAGGGTGAGGCTGAGGCAGGCTGAGGCTGAGGCCGAGGCTGAAGGCAGACTGAGGCTGAGGCTGAAGCAGGCTGAGGCTGAGGCTGAGGCAGGCTGAGGGCTGAGGCTGAGGCTGAGGCAGGCTGAGGCTGAGGCAGGCTGAGGCTGAGGCGGAGGCTGATGCAGGCTGAGGCTGAGGCAGGAGGCTGAGGCTGAGGCCTGAGGCTGAGGCCGAGGCTGAGGCAGACTGAGGCTGAGGCTGAAGCAGGCTGAGGCTGAGGCTGAGGCAGGCTGAGGCTGAGGCTGAGGCAGGCTGAGGCTGAGGCAGGCTGAGGCGAGGCGAGGCTGAAGGCAGACTGAGGCTGAGGCTGAGGCAGGCTGAGGCTGAGGCTGAGGCAGGCTGAGGTGAGGCTGAGGCTGAGGCTGAGGCTGATGATGAGGCTGAGGCTGAGGCTGAGGCTGAGGCCGATGCTGAGGCTGAGGCTGAGGCAGGCTGAGGCAGGCTGAGGCAGGCTGAGGCTGAGGCTGAGGCTGAGGCTGAGGCTGAGGCTGAGGCTGAGGCTGAGGCTGATGAGGCTGAGGCTGAGGCTGAGGCTGAGGCTGAGGCTGAGGCCTGAGGCTGAGGCCGAGGCTGAAGGCAGACTGAGGCTGAGGCTGAAGCAGGCTGAGGCTGAGGCTGAGGCTGAGGCTGAGGCTGAGGCTGAGGCTAGGCAGGCTGAGGAGGCAGGCTGAGGATGATGCGGAGGCTGATGCAGGCTGAGGCTGAGGCAGCCTGAGTCTGAGGCCGAGGCTGAGGCAGGCTGAGGCTGAGGCCGAGGCTGGGCAGAGGCTGAGGCTGAGGCTGAGGCTGAGGCTGAGGCTGAGGCTGAGGCTGAGGCTGAGGCAGGCTGAGGCTGATGAGGCTGAGGCTGAGGCTGAGGCTGAGGCTTGAGGCAGGCTGAGGTTGAGGCTGAGGCAGGCTGAGGCAGAGGCAGGCTGAGGCCGTGGCTGAGGCTGAGGCAGGCTGAGGCTGAGGCAGGCTGAGGCTGACGCCGAGGCTGCAGGCAGACTGAGGCTGAGGCTGAAGCAGGCTGAGGCTGAGGCTGAGGCAGGCAGGCTGAGGCTGAGGCTGAGGCTGAAGGCGGACTGAGGCTGAAGCATGCTGAGGCTGAGGTTGAGGCTGATGCAGGCTGAGGCTCAGGCAGGCTGAGGCTGAGGCCGAGGCCGACAGCAGAATGAGGCTGAGGCTGAAATCGGACTGAGGCTGAGGCAGAGGCAGGCTGAGGCTGAGGCTGAGGCAGGCTGATGCTGAGGCGGGCTGAGGCTGAGGCTGAGGCTGATGCAGGGTGAGGCTGAGGCAGGCTGAGGCTGAGGCCGAGGCTGAAGGCAGACTGATGCTGAGGCTGAAGCAGGCTGAGGCTTAGGCTGAGGCAGGCTGAGGCTGAGGCATGCTGAGGCTGAGGCTGAGGCGGGCTGAGGCTGGGGCTGTGAGTGCGACTGCCGTTGCCACTGCGAGTGTCATCGCGAATGCGACTACGACTGCGAGAACAGCAGAATTCTACAACTGGATTATCATCTGAATCTTAAGGGAAATGCTTCCGAATATGCTCCTACACATCGCTGTTAGGTTGCTTTGCCGGGATAATTGAATACTTGTTTTTTGAGTGTTTTATCTTATATTTCGCCCAAGGTCCGCCTGCAGGAGGACACGCCCGACCTCGTGCCGGAGTTCTAGGCCTCGTAGATAGGGTCGGAGTAGATGGGGTAGGAGGATCGTCGATGCATTGGCGATGCGGCGTTATCTTCCGACCCCATCTATTCCGACCCCGTCTAAGAGGCCTCTAAGAGTGAGGCTCGGCTGGAGCCGTCGGGGGGGTCCGAGGTGGCCCCCCGCACCAGTTCCCCGCCCTGCAGGGGGGGGGGGGCGGGCAGGCTCGAGACGCTGCTTGGGCTCTCGAGGGAGTCGTTCCCTCTTCTTTTGGGGGGGCCTTCCGGGGGGGGGGTGGAGGAAGAAGGCGGAGGAGGAGGAGGAGGACGAGGAGGAGGAGGAGGAGGAGGAGGAGGAGGAGGAGGAGCGAGGGCTCTGAGGGCTCTGATGATACGAGTCTCTCCTAGAGACCCCTGGCACGCTGGCCACGCCAAGCCAACGCTCAGCAGTTGACAATCATGGTTGAGGGGCCGAGCCTATGCCCAGCCCCTGAATGGTGCTAGGCCTATGCCCAGCGCCCACAAAACTTGGCGCGACGCACGCTAACCTAGGCCAAAGCCAGCTCAGCGCCACGCCTGAACAGACGCCCACCCTAGCACCCCACTACTGGGGCGCCTGGGCAAACGAGAGCCTGAACACGAACGACTTAATGCCCAGCATCGCAGTGCGCATGGCCTCAGGCGTGCTGGCCGCTTCGAGCGCGTCCTGGAGCTTCTTGCCCTCCAGGAAGTCCTCCAATGAGAATTCCAGGTCGTCCCCCGCCCGAAGGAGGGACGGGAAAGCTGGGGCGGCAGGCAGCTCCTGCTCTGTCACTGTGAGATTTGGCTCACGGTCCCTCAGCCTCTGGCCCGCGAGGACCTGGGTGCATCCACGCACGAGGTTCACTTGGCCACCACCAGGTTCCTCAGGCGCTTGAGTCGCACCAGGCTCTCCTCCGCGTTGGTCAGGGTCTTCTCGGCCTGGTGGATGTGGGCCTTCACCCTGTTTTGCGCCTCCTCTGTGCCCGTGTGCAGGGCGGGCTGCAGCGACTCGATCAACTCCGTCAGGTTGTCCTTGGTCGTCTGCTGCTTGCTGGCCATCGCGTCGATGTGCTCCAGCTGCCTGTCCTTCTCCGTCTCCTTCACCATTTCCCCCTCCGTTTGCGGCACGCTGAGCTTCACCCCCATGGCCTGCTTCCCCTGGCTGTGCTTGCGTTTCTGCTTGATCTTCTTGAAGAACGCGTTCTTCTTTCGAGTCCCCTGCACCGTCACCTTTGGACAGGTCGAAGAACTCGCAGCAGTGGCCGACGCCAGCTGCTTCTTGGGAGCCCTCTGGCGCTCGAACTCCTCCCTGTTGGTCTTGCGGATGGCCGCCATCTGTTTCTCCCTGATGGGGGACGGCGGCAGTCTGCGGCAGAAGGGGCACTGCACCCTGAAGCCAAAGAGCACCACCTTCTTGTTCAACCTCTTGGCGCAGTCCTCGCAATTCCACTTCTGTATTTGGCAATCCTTTAGCTTCCACTCCTGGGACCCGTCGATGTGACCCTTGAGATTCGCGAAAGGGCTCCGAACCGACTGGTCCTTCTGCTTCTTCTTCTTCTTCGCCTTCTTCTTGAACACCTTGGCGCTCTTCACCTTGCCCGCAGCAGGCGCGGACGGCTCCACCCGGCGCCACGGGATCCTGATCTTCACCGGCCGCGGGGGCTTCGGCAGCCACTGACCCTCCACCTTGACTCTTCTCGGCGGCGATCGCAAGCGGTCCGCAGGCGCCTTCTCCTGCGTGCTCCGCTGGGTCTGGCTGGGCTGCGTGCCCGCCTCCTCCGACTGAGCCCGAGTGGCAGACGACGACCTCTGCATCATCCACCCGCGCGGCTTCCAAGAAGTCGCCGAACCTCGCCCCGAAATCCGAGCCGAAGAAGTTCTCCGCTATCAGGAACCGCAGGCTCGTGGGCATCAGGTCTAAGCCATGGCTCGCGGCAGCTGCGCCGCTTTGAATCGCGCTGCCGCACGCCCCTCCTGGGCCAAAGCGGCTTGAGGAGGAGCGAGGAGGAGGAGGAGGAAACGGAGGAGGAGGAGGAGGAGGAGGAGCAGGAGCAGGAGCAGGAGCAGGAGGAGGAGGAGGAGGAGGAGGAGGAGGCGGAGGAGGAGGCGGATGAGCGAGGAGGAGGAGGAGGCGGAGGAGGAGGAGGAGGAGGAGGAGGAGGATGAGGAGGAGGCGGCGCTGTGTGTGTGTGTGTGTGTGTGTGTGTGTGTGTGTGTGTGTGTGTGTGTGTGTGTGTGTGTGTGTGTGTGTGTGTGTGTGTGTGTGTGTGTGTGTGTGTGTGTGTGTGTGTGTGTGTGTGTGTGTGTGTGTGTGTGTGTGTGTGTGTGTGTGTGTGTGTGTGTGTGTGTGTGTGTGTGGGGGGCCCCTGGGCCGTGAAGAAGGGCTCCTCGCACGAGGGTCGGGGTCCTCGCGCCTTCCCCCCCCGTAGAGCTCCTCCTCGTCCTCCTCGGCTGCCTCTGGGAGGGGCGGCGCGGGAGCGCGAGGTTCTTCGCGCTTCGCGCTTCGCGGAGCGCGAAGCGCGAAGCTGGGAGCGCCAGGTGAAGAACGGATCCGGGGTGCAAAACTGCAGCAGATGGACCAAGGGAGGGGTCCAGGGATAGACGTTGAGCGGGTTGGGTACCCTCCTGCTCCTGCTCCTCGTCCTCCTCCTCCTCTTCCTTCTCTTCCTCCTCCTCCTCCTCCTCCTCCTCCTCCTCCTCGTCTTCCTCTCCCTCCTCTTCCTCCTCCTGACCGATTTCCGGGGGCCCCAACCAGTTCAGACCCCCTGGTCGCCTCGAAGGCAAGATGCTACCAGCCCTGTCCCTACGATTCGGCACCACCTGGTCTCGTTGCCGATCTGAAAGGTTCCCATCAAGTTTCTGAGAACGCATCCCGGAGAAAAAACTCATCACCTTTTTTATCTGGTCAATGTTTGGGATGGGGAGACGCGCTCCAGGCTGCTTGAGATGGTTCGTGTTGTTGCCTCCTGTGCTGGCTCAGTGGCGGCGCCCCCTGGCCGCACCACGGGGGGGCCGCTCGCAGGGATCTCGAGCGCAGCTTTTTCGCCGCGTGCCCCCCGGGGCAGTCCACGCCGTGGTCCTTGGAGTGAGCGCGCTGCTGTGACAGCGACCAGCACGCGCGACACCTCCCGGCCTCGCAGGCGATGTAGGCGGCAGCGGCCCGCAGTTGTGTGCATGCCGGCGCCCACCGTCACGAGCGGCGCCGCCCATTGGACGTTGCAGGCTGGACAGGCCTTACGCTTGTGTTATGATGTGTTATGATTATATGATGTGTATGATCAGCTGGACCAGCTTGTGTTATGATGTTCCAACCTACTTGAGCCTTGATCACCCAAAAGAAGTTCGAGCACCAGGAAGTTCCGAAACTCAAGGGTTCTCACGTGTCGGGCCCTGGGAGACACTCGTCCGACACTGTTTCGACACTGTTTCGACACTTTTCGGGGTGCTCGTGTTTTTTTTGCGTTGTGGTCTTTGGGAGCAGCATCAAATAAGTGGGCCCTGAAAATGACAGGGCCGTTTTTGTTACCGATTCCGTTTTTCCGTGTTTGTTGCCGGTTCCGTCCCCGTTTTTATTGCCGGCTCCGTCGTTGTTTGTTGTTGTTGGTTCCGGCTACAGTTCCAATCCCGGAGCCGTTTTTGTTGTTGTTTCCAGTTGCAGTTTTCTTTCCAATATTACACAAATTAACCTTTTCCATGTTCGAGTGGCACTCTTTTTTGGAAACGGTGAAAAACGGCCTTGCCGCTTCCAGGGCCCACTAAGGTCGAGGCCTCGGGGGCTGACTTCAACAGGTGGCTTCCCCTCGCTCGTTGTGAATACTGGGGCGCCGGCATGTTGCTAGGGGGCGTGCTTGTGAGAGCGGTGTTCTGTACAGTTCGGCCAGCCAGCAAGTCTGACGGTGTCAAAGCGTCACGCTCGAGCTGCCACAGCTCTTCGCGGACGCACTGACCAAGTAGATCGGATGCGCAGACGTGCACAGATCGTCTGACCTGGATGAAGGAGGGTAAGCACGCCAGACTTCTTTGGTGTTTGAGCTTTGAGCTCCAGCTTGAAAATATACAACGTTTCACCACACTGATTGCAGGTGAGAAGGGCTTGTTGGCCTAATCGCAACCCTCTGGCGCAGCCACAGCATCGGATCAACTTTGGTTTTTTAGCTACTCGTTGTGGTGTACTGGGCCAGAATCGATCAGGAGGAAGAGGTCTCGTAGGGTTAGTGGCAGAAACTTGGCATGCCACCTGGCAAGACCAGCACAGTGAGTAGCAGCAGGCAGAATGCATGGATGGGCAAGTGTTATAATTGGACTACGGGTATTCCCTGACGGATTGCCGCGATTCGTTTTTCTTCGTTTACGCTTATATGTCAAAAGGCCTTGACGCACGCCACCGACCCGCTGGCGCAGTACATTCAGGCACCATCGGCTGGTGCACGATGCATGCATACCTGGAGAAGTGCCTGCGTGCTTGTGCATATGCTTGTGGCACCCATGACCTCGTGCATTTGGGTGGCAAATTCTCCATATCCCCGAGCGACAAGAGAGGAGATACTCCGAGTTTCTTCATCAGCGTCTGGGGGGCGCGCCCCCCCCGCCGACAGCCCCACATGGACCCCCGTCGCGGGCAGCCACCGCGCGCGGACCGTCGCGGCGCGACGACGAGGCGAGGATGACCCCCGCCGGGGATGTACCCCCCCCACGCTAATTAAGAAACCCAGAGTGAACAGAAACGCGTGGGCGTCCGCGCGGATTTCGTGCAGCGGCGCTGGACCCCCCTGTCGGGGCCTCGGGCGCCGCCTTTGGTAAGGTTCGCGCGCCAGGGGTGGGGTCCAACCCAACAAATCCGCGCGGACCTCCGAAGGCGTATGTGTTGGATGCTGCTGTTCCGAGACAGTATCGAGTGGGGGAGGAGAAGGAGGAGGAGGCGGAGGAGGAGGAGGAGGAGGAGGACGAGGACGAGGCGGACGAGGAGGACGAGGCGGACGAGGAGGACGAGGAGGAGGAGGAGGAGGAGGAGGAGGAGGAGGAGGAGGAGGAGGGGGAGGCGGAGGGAGAATAGGAGGAGGAGAAGGAGGAGGAGGTGGAGGAGGAGGAGGAGGAGGAGCAGGAGGAGGAGGAGGAGGGTGCCACCACGGTGCCCGAGTTGCGCATGAAGGCCGCAGAGGGAATGGCTGGTGGTCATAAAGCATCGAGGCTATGTCGGACATTGGAACATCTACATGAGCAGTGGCGGGCTGCGCTTCAATCCCCGGATCCTTTGAGGGCCCGGAGCGACGTCGGGGTGGTGCGGTTTATGCTTGTTGTTTCCGCTTCCAGGGGGGACAGCGAAACGGGTATACACCAGATCCTGCATACACCAGGATCCGCCTCCCTGGCCACACTTCGGTGCAGGGCCACAACAAGCGTCGGGGTAGGGAGTTCGGTTCCCTGCCATGCAGGCTCCCGGGGGCCCCCCTCTCGGAGGCCAGCGACGCATGGCACGCGCTCGCGGTCAGCTCCCGCGGGCCCGCGCGGCCTCTGCTCGCTCACCCTGCAAGCCTCGTCAAACGCAGTTTTAAGTCGGGCCTGTCCCTCTAGAGGGGGAATATTCAGAAATAGTGAAACAACAGTCTGGGGACTATTTTTTTTACAATGCTTTGACCTTTTTGGACAATTTTAGGGTATTTTTGATTTTTCGTCGAAAATCTCCCTATAGGGGGACACGCCCGACTTAAGCATAGTCTGCAACGCCTTTCAAAATCGAGGCGCCCGATCGCTTTGGCACTTGTCAGGACAGGCGCTCTTCAACGCCGCGAGGGCGCTGCTGGAGTTCGGACACCCCCGCGCGTGGGCCGAGCGCCTCGTGCCGGCATCTCGAAGTAGCGCCTACCGCGCGCGCGCGCCCCGCTCAGAAGCCGCCAGTCTGCGTTTGACGAGTCTTGCAGGAACACGGCTGGGAACTCGGGAGCATAGGCGAGGGCTGGCAGACCCGTGGCTGCTAAAATGGAGCTCCGGGAACTTGTTGCCTTCCGGGAAGCAGCCCGTTTATTATTTAGCGCGCTGAGTTGTATTCCAGGAGCCTTTTTTATTTTTCGGGGAAGACCGTTCTGGCAGCCACGAATTTGCCAGCCCTCGCCAAGCTTCCGAGACATGCATGTCCTCGGTACACTCGGGACGCCGAAGACGGAACCCTTTTCGTTGGTGAGGGGCTCCGTGCCCTTCCACTGTTGCACAGTCTGCCTCAGGTGCTCCCCAGGGCTTCGATGGGAAAGCGAAGCTCAACTTGTGGGACAAAAAGGGCCTCGTTCCTTATTTGGGGTTCCTCGCCCAGACATGCGACGTCCTGTTTTTTCAGGACCGCGCCCCTGGAAGTCCCGACCCTTTCTCCGGGACCGGCTTTTCGTCCCGAATCCTTTTTTGGCGGTCCCGAGGCCCGGCGGGGCCCCCGCGGGGCCGAACATAGCCACAAGCCCCCCGTCCTGATATTTTACGACGCGATCTTGTCTGGGCAGGTCAGCGCCCCGACGGCATTTTCCACGGCGGGCTCCCGAGAGCATTGGTCCGGGAGGGCTGCGGTCTCCCGGCCTCTTTTGTGAGCTCTGGGCAGGGCGCTGAGGTAGACGGGCCGCTCCAGGTGTAAGTCGGGCCTGTCTCCCTTCAGGAGGAAGATTCAAAAGTAGTCAGACGATTTTTGGTTATTGAATCTATTTTGACTGTGTCTCATTGTTCGTCCAAAATCCGCCTGTAGGAGGACACGCCCGACCTACGGTAGAGGGAGACAATTTCTGAAAGTTCCCCTTCCCCCCCAAACTTCAAGTTGGGCACGCGCGGGGGAGACTGCGGTCGAGGCGCAACTCATCGGACCCACCGCCAACTCTGAACACTGGGGGGAGGGGACAGGCGTTGCCAGATGAATGTGGCATGAGCGTTCGCCATTCTTTTCCGAGGGCTGCAACTCTGGGCTCTCGGGAGGGGGCCCTCCAGGCCTGCCACAATTGGGGGAGCTGTGCTCCTTACCCCTCTGGGGGGCCCATCGATCTCGACACCCCTCTCGCGAGATCGTCGATGCGATGGGTTCCCCCAGGGGGGTATGTAAGGATCGGGCCGGACGCAAGGGGGGGTTTGGGAAAGGGGGGGGTACGAAATTTGCAACATGCAGTTGGTTTCGGCCCCAGCGAGGGGCCCATTCCTGGATACACGGGCGCCTCCGGCGCCGGGAGGCGCCGGGAAAGTCAGCCACGTGAGCTGATTCTCACCCCCCCCTTTGCTATCCCCCCCTTTCGCCCGACCCGAAAGGACCAAAGCTGCCCCGGAAACGGCAGGGCCGTTTTTTCACCGTTTCCCCAAAAGTGCCCCCTGAAAATGGAAACGGCAAAGAAACGGCGACCGGAAACAGCAACAAAAACGTCTCCAGGATTGGAACCGGAGCCGGAACCGGTCAAAAGCCGGCGACGGAGCCGGTAAGAAAAACGGCGTCGGAACGGGCAACAAAAATTGCAAAACGGAAACGGTAACAAAAACGGCCCTGTCTTTTCCAGGGCCCACTAAGGTAAGGACCCAAGCTCCCCCAGGCTGTTCAGCCACGCGCAGAGGGGTGTGCGGGGAGGGCTTCTTAGAAGCACCCCTGCTTCTTAAAAGGCGCGGGCCTTATCTATAGATGTAGGGCTGGCGCCCTCTAAGGAGCAGCCTGCTTCTAAGAAGCCCTCCCCCCTCCCCCCACCCCCCTGTGCGCGCCGCCAGGCCGTGGCTGGTCGGCCCTCCCGTCGTCGGGGGGGGGGGCGCTCTCCCCCCGTCGACCCCCCTGGGGGCCGCGGGAGAGCCCCGCCGTGGCCGCCCTCGGCCCTCGAGGCCCGCCGCGTCCTCGGGAGAGGCCCCTCCTCCCTCCTCCCCCTCCTCCCTCCTCCTCCTCCTCCTCCTCTCCCTCCTCCTTCTCCTCCCTCCTCCTCCTTCCCCCTCCTCCTCCTCCTCCTCCTACTCCTCCTCCTCCTCCTCCTCCCTCCTCCCTCCCTCCTCCTCCCTCCCCCTCCTCCTCCTCCTCCTCCTCCTCCTCCTCCTCCTCCTCCTCCTCCTCCTCCTCCTCCTCTCCACCTCCCTCCCCTCCCCCCCCCCCGCCTCCCGCTGCCCCTGGGCCTCCCCAGGGGCTCTCGCATGCCTAGAGGTTGACACCAACACCAATATCGGCAGTGTGCCTCCATCGTGAAGTCGGGCGCGTCCCCCTACATGGGGATTTTCGACGAACCATGAAAGATATTTCAAAAATACCCCAAAGAGGTCAAACAGTACTCAAAAAATGGTCCCCTGACTATTTTTGGATTTTGTTTTGAGTATTTTTTGGGTATTTTTTATTTTGCGTCGAAAGTCCCCCTGTAGGGGGACACGCCCGACCTAACTCCATCGAGGGAGGAAGGTCCCGATCTCGGTGATGGTGGTAATCTGGCTTCCAAGGTAATCTGGCTTCCAAGGGTCATCTTCCCCCTGTGGAGGTAACCCCCTGTGTTGGTGTTGGTGCCAATTTCCAAGCCTCCAAGGCTCGTCTCGGTTCCTCCGCTTCGATTCGGCTTGATCTCTCGAAGGAGAACGACAAAACCCCATAAGCGCGAACACCATTCTTCGGAGAAAGAACACACACCACACACGACACACACACGACACACGACACACGACACACACACACGACACACACACACGACACACGACACACGACACACGACACACGACACACGACACACGACACACGACACACGACACACGACACACGACACACGACACACGACACACGACACACGACACACGACACACGACACACGACACACGACACACGACACACGACACACGACACACAACACACAACACACAACACACAACACACAACACACAACACACAACACACAACACACACACACGACACACACACACGACACACGACACACGACACACGACACACGACACGACACACGACACACGACACACGACACACGACACACGACACACGACACACGACACACGACACACGACACACGACACACGACACACGACACGCACGCACGGCGCACGCACGCACGCACGCACGCACGCACGCACGCACGCCACGCACGCACGCACGCACGCACGCACGCACGCACGCGCACGCACGCACGCACGCGCACACGACGCAGCACCACACACACACACACACACACACACACACACACACACACACACACACACACACACACACACACACACACACACACACACACACAGACACACACACACACACACACACACACAAAACGCCACGCCAGAAACAAAAACTCGTCGATTTTTCGATCTCTCGAGGGAGAACAAAAACGCTATAAGCATAAACTGTTGGCGCTCCGCGCGGATTTCTTGGATCCGCGCGGGCAACCCCCCCGGCGCCTCCGGCGCCGCCCCTGGCGCGCTCTGCGCGCCAGGGA